AAAGGAATGGCTCATTTGTTAAACGCATATGTTTCTTGTCTTTTATTTCTATTTTTTTAAAGAGACATGTACTTTGATAAACCATTCTATTTCTAGTTTCTAAATTTTAAAAAACGTTTTTAAAAAAATGTTAATTTTAGAAATTATAAAAAATAATTTCATTTTTCCCGTTTCAGTCTTTCGGTCGATTAAATAATAAAATATTGTGCAATAAAATTATAATAGTTTATGCAGGTGCCGGTAAGTCCTTACTAGCTCCTTGGTCTATTGTTCGAACCTCGTGAATAACAAGACATTATTTCTTTTCTAATATGTTTAAATGTTTTTATATTTTATACTTTTCTTCAGTTTTTTTACATTTTATATATATTTTTACTTTTTTATTTTTTATTTTCTATGTTTTTACATTTTCTGTTATTTTATATTTTACATTTTTTGGTTGTTTTATATTTTATTATTTTTATACTTTCTATTTTTTTAATGAAATAATTTTTTTTTAAAATTAAAAATATTTTAAAAAGTATTATTCATTTAAAGTTAATAATTTAGAATTTATATCAAAGAAATTTATATCGTAAATTATATTATTTTTAATGAATGAGCTTCTTCGAGTATATGTTATATCTACTAAATTTTATTTTAACTCAAAATAAAAATAAACTAATTTGAGTAAACACGTATATTTCTGATCAAGAATGCATGGTTTGAGTCCTCATCCCCACAAGTTATTGTACTAAAAGAAGTAAAAATAGTAACAAAAAATAAGAAATAGTTATCAAAGATATTTTGTTTATATTTCATTTTTTCAAGAAATATGAAACATAAGGGTTACCAAATATATTCATGTTTCTAGTTCTATAAAAAAGTTCGAAACATGAAACATGAAACGAAAAACAGAAAACGAGAACATTACCAAACGAGCCCTAAAAAACTTGATTTTTTTTATTTAAAATTCTTTTACATAATTTTGAAAACTTTCTAAAAAACAGAAAGAAGGAACAAAAATAGTTACCAGCTCTAATGAATATTTTTTATTTTTTATTTTTAAATCCAACTATTTAGTTTGAATTACATGAATAAAATGACATTTGAATCCTTAATGTTGGAAAAAAAATAATGAAGAAACTTGTCATTTTAAATTAACAAAAATAAAAATGCGTATCAAATATAAATGCCATAAATGCTACAAATGCTATAACTGGATTTTATTCCTTTTCAGGCTATAAAGGCAACTATGAGCTAACTATCATATGTACACAAAAAAATTAAAAAGGAAAAAAAAAACCTAACTTGAAAAGCATTTCTAAACAAAATTGGAAGGAAAAATCTTACCCAATGGATTTATTTTCTCAAATTGAATGGCTATCCTGCCGACCAACTATTTTATACAATTTAAAAAAAAAATTAAACATGTTTAGTAACATTTTCTATTTCTCAATTCTAATTTCAACTTTTTTTTAATATATCCGTGAGTGTTTGGACCAATTTATGTGTACCTTAGTGAATCTCACGGAACAGCCACTTGATTCTACAACGTCTGGTGTCGAACAACAAAGAGAAGTTCATTTTAAAATTTTTTGAGAAACACGAACATTTAATTAAAGTAAAATCTTCAAAAGGATGGAGTTCCCGCAAAACCTTTTTACCTACTTTTTTAAATTACAATTTTAGAGAAAAAAAAATTATCAAACATATTTCTATTTCCTTTTTTCTAAAAGAAAGAACAAAGAAACAAAAACCATTACCAAAGGCAATTATGCTTTTCAATCAAGAAACAAGAACATTGGCAAACACGTCGTTGCAACTTGATTTGTAAAATTTTAAGCTCATTGATCCATGTTTTACAAATGGGTGACTTTTAAGGGAAAAATAACTTTAATTATTCCTAAAACATATCAGGTCATCGTAGACTAAAACAACTTCTACCAACACGAACATAGTTCTGTCCTGACAGTACTATACTAAAAAAATAGTTAACTAAACAGGTTAGAAACTTGAGTAAAAATGGGAAAGCAAAACATTAGTGAGTTGAAAACAAAGGTGAGCAGAGAAAGTGATATGAAAGCAAAGAATCACACCAACTTATGAGTTTGATTAGAGGCTCCACAGGCAGGCCTTGTGTTGGATTGAAGCAACAGCGTCAACAAACAAATCATTACCATTCTCTTCTTAAGTCTTAACACACATTTTAATTTTCTCTTCATTTTCATCAAATTAATTTTCACAAACTCAATAATGAACTTAACTACGAAGGAAATTGCTCAACATACGCATTGCATTGGAGTGTTTGTGAATGATTTTGATTCTTGAAAGTAATGCTTTCATGGAATCTGCATAGCTCGTCATCACTGCAAACATCTGTTCACAATTCCAACCAAATAAGATAGAAATCAAGACTCGTCAATCCGGTTTAGAAATTCAATCGAACAATGCAATATCCAATGCAATACCGCAGCACATGTTCATACCTCTGATCCGTAGGGAGAAATGGAAACCTAGAACCGTATAAGGTGTATCGAAGGATGTATGATCGTACAACGAGAAGAAGACGACGCTCTGTAACGAGAAAGAGAATGATTCGAATCGCAATGCCCTAGAAAACTGCAATGAAAACCAGAAAACGCACTTGATTCGGTTTCTGAGGGTCTCTAAGGGGGGAATTATCAATGGCGATGGAATTCCTCATGCGTCGAAAAGCAGGAACAGAAGAAGAAGCCAATGATCATCGTGCAATTGCAGTGAAAAGAAGATCGAGATGTCACAGAGCATTGGAAGGCACGGGTTCTCCACTCTCGAGAGGAAGACGGAGGGAAATGGAGAGAATTCAAGAGGGATTCAATGACTACAAATTGTTTAAACAAAATTTTCTTATTTAGTTCTCCAGTTGCATTCTGAATAAGAATGGTTGTCACGTAGTGAAAACATTTCTAAGAACATGAACATGAACATTTTTATAAAAAGAATGGTTATCCTGTAGGAACTAGACCAGTTCAATTGTACAAACCTATGGCTAATTGTAATTTGTATCTGAAACTTGTTCACTATATATCTGTCAAAAAAAAAAAAAAGAAAAAAAAGAAAAGGAAAGGGAAAACAACTTTATACCGTTCCTAGGTTCCAGTTGATCTTGTTCTGCTACTTCCCGGATCGGGGAGAAGCGAAGAACGCGTGTCGTGAATGCGCAGTTATTTACACCACCAAACCAACTCACTCCAGTCATCTTCCTGAATCTGAATCCATTGGCACCGTGACAGTGGCAAAGAATCGGGTGATCTCAAATGAAAGAGATGATCCCGACTCCGTGGAGGATCGATCTCCGGTCTGATCTGTGAAGGATGGAAAAAGAGAATCGAAAGTAACAAGCATTCCCATCTCAAGAACTCTGGCTCAATGTAAGTGCAACAAGAGATGGAATCTTCAGCATCAAACATCATCCTCGAACAAAACACGAGTTTCAAAACTCGACCTCGATTTACGGTTAGAAGGGGTGGCCAGGCTTTGAAGCAAGGTCAAAACATCAGCGGTATCGTCTAAATAGTATTTGGCTTTGCTAGGCTTTTGCCCCACGGTGCAGGCAAATATTTTGGGAGGAGTAACAAGAGATGAGCTATAGCTTCTACTCAATATGCTCTCGAACATGTCTTCGTCGGATCGATCGTCTCCAATGCACATCACAAAGTCGGGTGCTTTCTCAGAGCTGATCATTGTGTCAAGAACTCTTTCAGCAACTAATCCTTTAGTCACACCCTGCAACAATAGCATAAAACGATTACTTGCCTCCATGAAAACCGAAACGGAAAGCTGAGTTAGGAGTGAGTAGAAGCTGTAAATACCTGTGGTTTTACTTCAACGATCTGCTGGCCTCTTTTGGCAACTACAGGTTCATTGGCAAGAACGTTTTCAAGGTGATCCAGAAGTTCCATGGCCTGGCACGAACCGAAATAAGGATCGGCATCTTGATGGTGCCATACCAAGGCACTGTCCTTGGTCTCTATGTATGAGCCATCGGTTGCCTCAGTATATAGTTTCATCACAGGTTCTGCTATTCTTTTCCAACCAAAGTTTTCAGCTAATGGACTAACTTCCCAATCAGAGTCCCTATTCCACCTATAAATACATCAAGACATGATATAAGAATCGACACGGAGGACATAGATTATACGACTGGGAAATCGATTAGTAACTTCCTTACCTCAAGTAGTATCCGTGTTCAGCAGCGATACCAAGATTCTTACACGAATCGAACCATGGACCAAGAGAATCCTTCCCCCTACCACTGACTATAAACACAGTATTCTTTGAATCCATGCAAAGATTGTTCAGGATGGAAATGACTTCAGGAGACGGGGATTTGACCAACGAAGCTTGGGAAACCACGGTCCCATCGTAATCCAAAAAAATCGCCCTCCTAGAAGCGCTTCGATATGCAGAGCCAATATGTTCAATGGAAAGCTTCCTGAAACTTGGAGAAAGTGACAAAATTCTGAAGCTTAAACCAAAACCAATGCCCCAGCAGCGTTTACTGTAGTGTTCTCGGCATGCTCGCTCCAAATCTTGCGAGAAACTGCGAGCCCAGTAAGCGACATCATGAGAGCTAACGTATCGGTAGTGCTTTTCGTGCCTCAGTTGCTTCTCTAAAGCAGGCATAGTGACAGCCACATAAAGTGCATCAGCTACAGCATCAAAATCCCATGGGTTCACCCTGATCGCACCACTTAGAGATGGCGAACAACCTATAAATTCCGACACGACAAGCGTGCTGGTACGAGGAGAACTTGGGGAGACTTCCAAAACTTCATCCATTTGTGAAGTTCCCTGTCGGCAAACAATGTACTCATATGGAACTAAGTTCATACCATCCCTGAGAGCATTTACAATGCAGCACTCTGCTAGTACATAATACGCAATCTTCTCATCAGGAGGAATAGGATGATCAATCAAGATTACAGGTTCATATCCCGGAAAACCGAAGGCCTTATTGATTCTTTTGGTTATCTCATAAGTTTCCCTTTTCGCTTCCTGAACGTCGTTCCCATTGCTCCGTGCTGGATTTAGAATTTGCACCAGGACAAGATTGCCCCGTAACTCGGGATGCTGGTTCAGGAGCTGTTCCATAGCTAATAACTTAAGACCAATACCTTTAAATATGTCCATGTCATCAACACCAAGAATAACCTTCTTTCCTTGGAGATCTTCTTTGATTTCCTTGGCCTTGATTGAAGTTTGGGGTTGATTTAATGCAGATTCAAGTCGACCCATATGAACTCCAACAGGCAAAATCTTGATGTATATCGTACGGCCAAAATACTCGAGCGTGAGATAGCCTCGTTTGGATTCATACTCCAGACCAAGCAGTCTACTACAGCAAGACAGAAAATGGCGAGCATAATCGAATGTATGGAAACCAATTAGGTCTGCATTTAGTAATGCCTTCAAAATCTCGTCTCTGACGGGCAGAGTTCGGTAGATTTCTGATGAGGGAAACAAGCTATGAAGGAAGAATCCAAGCTTAATTCGACTGTAACGTTTTCTCAAAAAAGTAGGGAGAACCATAAGGTGGTAGTCATGAATCCATACATAATCTTCTTCCAGATTGATTACCTCCATAACTTTATCTGCAAACCTTTTGTTGGCAGAAAGATACGCCTGCCAAAGACGCCGATCAAACCGTGTACCGTGGTAAGGGGAAATTGGCATCATGTAGTGAAAAATCGGCCACAAATGTTGTTTGCAGAATCCATGATAGAACTGTTTCTGAAGCTGCGGAGGAATGAAAGTCGGTGCACAGTTGAACTCCTCCAACAGTCTTTGAGAAACCTCATCTTGTTCTCGGACATCGACATCAACCTTTAACGATCCAACATATATAACATCTACATCAGAGGAGAAGCCATCCTTAAGTTGAAGAAGAAGCGAATCCTCATCAAAACTGAAGACCCATTTCCCAGAATCCGGATCCTTTTTAGCATGGAGAGGAAGGAAATTTGCCACTATTATTTTTCTCCCACGGGATCTCGATGAGGAAACTTCTAAATCTTTTTCCTTATCAGAAAATATTCCCGAAGCAGTCATCACCCGCGGAACAGTTCTCGGTGTATGGGGAAAATCCAGCATATCCACTGATGATAACTCTAACAAACTCAAGCAAGAACTTGACAGCATGACAGTCAATGATCTGCTTGTTCCTAGCTATCGATTATCGATCTATGCTACAAACAGAAAACTCCTTTCCGGCTGTGCAAGAACCTGAAGGCAAAATAAAAATGTAGGAAAATCTTAACCCTTGTCTCTTGTTTTTTCTTTTATAATAATACAGAAAACAAAGAAGTCTTCGATAACAACCCATAACCACAGAGACAAGTTTGAAGATTAGTGTATATAATATTTCTCAATCAAGTTTTAGCAATAAATCAACGACTTAATAGCCATTGGCTTCCAAATTCCAATATACTTATCTTCTAAACAAGTCAACTAAACAGAAGAGATTAAGGTAATCATCCTGATATTTGAAGGGCTAATCTCAAACCAACAGTAAGATTCAAAATCTTAAAAAGGGCAGGACAATTGAAGTGCAAGAAAACCTTCTTCTTCTTCAACTTTTTTTTTCCCTTCTTCCAGAAGGAAAAAAAAAACAAGAGAGAAAAGTTTCGGTCGTTATTAGATCAACTTTTTAATGAAACAATACCGACAACATGAATTTAAAATTCAAACACAAGATAAGGACAAATGACAAATGGTTATGCACTTATCCTTATCTTCAAGTTACTGAAATCCTCACTCAAAAGATAGTGTATAATTATTGCAGTTCACCTTTTAACTAAAAGAAAAAGGAAACAATAAACAAATCCCAATTCTTGGATTTCCAGATCATCCATCCATCCATCCACAACCCATCTGTTTGTTTACTGGGAAAATAACAACAAAAGAGAAAAAAAGGAAAAACAGAGAGGCAATCCACAGCCCCTTCAGCGAGCCCAAAACAAACAAACAAAAACAATCCCAACAGTTCAAAGAAGAGACAACAAGCAAAGTTACCTGAAATCAGAACGGAGAATCCCGAATAAACCTTAGGCGATTCTTCTTAAAATGCCCTGAAATTCCTGTGGGGGAAGAGAGAGCGTGGAAAACAAGTTAAAGAGAAAATCAGGAGCCGTTTGAAGAAAAACGAAAAGGGTATTCGTCACTGGGGCAAATAAAGGGAGTAAGAGAAGAAAACACAAACTGGGATCCTATTTTGCGATGCTTCCATGGAAGGAAAACAGAGGCAGAGGAGGCGCCATTACAGAGACAGAGAGAAGAAAGGAAGAGGGTGAGTATAAAAAGTGAGATTGAGAAGGGGGATTAGGTTGGAAAGTTGGAGAGGAGATTTTATGGGTAAGAAAATGGAATTAAATGGAAATGGGGGGAGAGAAATTGGATAAAGGGGAATTAATGGGGAAAATGGAGAAGCGAAGGAGAAGAGAGTTCCGTTTGGGGGATTTTGTCAAATTGTGTTGGTTTGTTCAACGAAGGAAGCTCCCCTTCCCTTTACAACAGGATTGAGATTTAGACCCATAAAGTCAAAAAGGAGAGAGAAACAAAAAAAAAAGGAAGAGAGAGAAACGACAGTTGGATTACAACCATGGTTTGGTCGTACGTTATGGACTGCTCCTTTCGTTATTTGTTTTTCTCAATTATCTCCATCATTTTCCCCCTCCCTTTCTATTTTAATTACTATACTTCCCTTTTTCTATTTTCATTATTACTCCTAATCTTAAATAAATAGTCCCACGTTCAAATCTACGCTCTAAATTATCGAGATATGATCTTGATTACTTTGAATAGATATTTTAGATATAATCAAATTGTTTAGATGTATGTTTGTTCGACTCGTGTGTCGATCTAATTACGTAAAAATATTATTCAATTCATTTATATAATATTGAATTTGATTGTCAATTCAAGCATATCTCAGTGTATGTGACATGAGTTACTTTTCTTGCAGTTGAAGCTACTAATACGATTGTCGAATTAATATATATTTTATCTATTTATTAGATTAGGTTGATTCTTGTTGTTTTATCCAAAACTTTTTTTTTTTAATGTGTTGAATTTTAAATCCTCCCTCCCTAGATGTATACTTGAAGAAATAAGAAAGTATGGGTTTAAATTAAGAGTGAAATTTCAGTTGATTTTATATATATATATATATATATATATATATGGATTAGGTTGATTCTTATTATCTTTATTAAAAACAATTATGGTTTAAACTAAGAGCATAATCTAATGGTACCAATATCATATCTCAATTCGTTAAGATATATCTTTTCGAGTACAATGTTGAAGATTTCAAATTCTTACAACTAAAAACATGCAGCAACGCAATTTCACAATCAATATCCAAATGAAGCACTGAATAATTAATAGTTTATGTTGGACTAATATAACCATTTTTAAAATAATCAGCTGAGTGAAATTATTTTTTCAAAATTTAATTGATTATCTAATAAAAATCAACCAATAAACTATTATTTTAAATTTTAACAGCTACACAGCATTTTGCGAAATTATTTTGAAAAATAAGAAAAGATTTTCAATCTAAAACCGTGATTATTTGGTTTGAAGTAATTATCAAACTTTAAAATCAGGTCCAAAATAGTAATAATAATAATAATAATAATATAATACAGGAATGCTTGAGTAAGATGAATCAAGATATGGAGCATGGAAACTGTGTAAGATGAATCGACTTGAAAATATCAATATTTTACCTAAACATAAATAACTTATTTTTAATATTTTTCTAAAATGCTTGAGTAATAAATAATAAATAACATAACACGCCGAATCCTCATACCCAATTTATTGTATTAAAAGAGTAAATAAACCACATAATAAATTACTTAAAAAATAATGGAAAAGGGCACGGACCGTATTTTTCAAATATTAATCAAAATTAATTATACTCTAAGAATGCGTTTTTCATCATTTTCAGTTATCACCACAGTTAAAAGTCTTTTTTAAGTTGTTTCAAAACAAAAGTATTTTTTTAGTAAATTTATCACACTTCTAAAAGTAATAAAAATACTTAAAAATAATGAATAGATTTTTCTAGAAATATTTACAGGATCACAAGACTCATTATAATTCTTACACTTCTATCATCAAGTAACTCAACAAAATATTTTTTCAAGATCACATTAAATAGTCTAAAAATAACAATAATAATAGATACTAAAATATTATGTTACGTAGAATTCAAGAAAAAAATGTAATATATAAATTATATGAATCAAAATATAAAACTTCCCCTCATATTCAGTATCATAATTCAAAGGCTAAATTACAAAAATATCGGTGAACTTTGCTATTTATTTTTTAAAAAAAATCTATACTTTCAAAAGTTTAAATGGTATCTTTAACCTTTCACAAATGTTTCAAAAACACAGTTGGAACAAAAATTCATTAATATTTTCAATAGAAAATTGACGTAATAGAATTTGAAACGACATAACAATTAATGTGGAAGCTTGACCTTTAATGATGGTAAAAAAAAATGAACAAGTAGAAATAATGACGGATCCACAATCGACCATAGGTAAGCTTCTACGTCAATTGCCATGTCGTCCTAAATTTTGCTACTCAACTTTTCGTTCAAAATATTAAGAGATATTTGTTCAAAAGATATTATCGAAACGTGTGAATGGTAGTATTGTTACTTTTGAAACAAATAGCAAAATTTATATGCTTATTCATTTTGTAGTTTAGTCTAATTACAAAATAAGATATAGGACTTTAACCTATAACATCTAAAAAAAAGGTTACCGGTGCATTTGGTTGTCAATCAAAAAACATAAATTTGAAAATTAGAGGTTCAATGAAAATCATAATTGTATTATTTGTTTGTAGCGTTTTCAGAGATGTGTTTGGACGTGGATTTGGTAATTGAATCTCAAATTGAAAAATTATGGTGTTTTATAATATATTTGTAAATTAGAAGTAGTTACAAATTAAATATTTAGTTTAATCTAAATTTATATTAATTTATTTATTAACATTTTTTAATAAATTTTGTATAATTATTATTTTACAAGATTATATAATTATTTTAACACACATAAAATGAGTTGTACTAAAAAAAATTTAAATAAATTTATAATATGAAGTAATATATTTATCAAAGTTTTAATTCTTTTAATATAATTATACGTCTTAAAAATTTTAAATTATAAATCTGAAAATACTGACGATATAAAAACAGAATCCTAATTTCAAACCAAACCGACTCTAATTTCTCAACCAGTGTATACACCAAAATCGTACTTATTTGGTTTTCAATATATATATGAATAATATTGAAAGATATATCCAAGTTTAAGGAAACATTATTAGAAAGAGAAAAAAAAAAAAGAGAGAGAGAGAAAGCAGTCAAAAATTGTGTGAAAATGCATTCCCATTTAAAAGAAAGAAGAAGGAAGTTGCCGGGGAAAAGGGGAAATCAACGAGATGGAAAAGGACCGAAACGTGACCCTTTTAATTTTTCCAATAAAGTTTGAATTTTCTTTTTCGTTTTCTAAATTAATTAATTTTCCAATAAACAACGTTATCTTTCGAGAAGGTAGGATTTATTTTTTCTTTTTTATTTTTTCTTTCCGAGTCTATCCTTGACCCCTGTTTGTTTCCCGAGAAAATATTATTGAACTGTTCTGTTCAAGCATGACCTACCTAACCTAATCTTTTTCTTTTTTTCCATCTTTGTCTATATCTTTTAACCCTTATTTTATAATTCCTGTTGTACGTTTCGATACGTTAAGTTAAATAATTTTTTAGTACAAGTTAAACATGTTGTTTGATTCTTATTATTTGTGCCTTCTTTTTATTCAAATCAAGTCTTCGTTAAAATTAAGATTTACTTTCTCCTTTTAGAATAATATTACGCCATTGCATTTTGGATGATTATGCTATTAGGTGGCAATGTTCTATTTCTCTATCCTCTCTCCTCTCTTTTTCATTCATCCTCTAGTGAACCTCGCTAGTCGTCCTTATCATCGTTTCTTCTTTAACGGTTGTCATCTTCAAATCTTGAGAACGTAAAGATCTACCAGGAAGGACTAGTGGGACGTGGAATAATGACTAGATTTGGTCTCTTGTTGAAACAATGTTCTATATTTTTCCTTGTTCTTGTTCTAGAAGAATGATTAGAATGAAAATGTTTGATTGTGCAACTCAAGGACTCGAGGTTCACTAAAGAGGGGAGAAGAAGATAGGAATGAGAATATAAAAAGGTGAGCATTGTCACCTCATCCCTAGTCGGAAAAAAATATCCTAAATTTGTCAAGTCAACTAATATAATCAATGTCCTAAATTTGTCAAGTCAACTAATATAATCAATGTCATATCATCTTTTCATTAATCAACTAATGGTAAAATAATATTATGAATAATTTAGGACTATTTTTCAAACTTCAAAAAACTAAAGTGTCTTTTAAAACTTTAATTACCAAATAGACATCTAACTAAAGTCAATTTTACCTTACATTTTTTTTTTAATCTTTGTCCATTTATCTGAATTTCAATACTTTTAGGGGAAGATTAAAATATATATATATATATATATATATATATATATATATATATATAATATATTCTGAATGTTCAAATTCAGAGGCAACGTAATAATAGAAATTAATTAAAATTAGATACAAACGAAATTAATGGTAGTAATCACAAATATATATTTCGCACTAAAAATAAGATATTTCAGATAGAGCAATAATTACAAATACAATCCAATTACAGGCAAAACTTCGTGTATCTAAAAATTCATCCTAAAATTACAAATTTAGAAATTTTTTAGACTTTGATAAATTGGCGTAAGGAAGAGCAATTAAATTAATAAATATAATCCATATGTGTGTATATATACATATTAAGTTAAATTTTAAGTTCCATCGTTTTAAAGATTATGGATTTAATTTGTCCTCAAAATTTTAAAAAATATCTAATAAATCTTTAAACAATAGAGATCTGTCAAATAAATATTAAACACAAAATAAAAAATTTAGAGATTTATTAGATAGTATTAAACATAGTCTTAAAAATTCATACACCAAATTTTTTTTTTTTTAACAACAATATGCATGTAAATTGGTTAAAAAGAAAATATAATTAATCATTAAATTAAAAATAGCGGGAAAAGGAAAAAAGAAAAAAAACGTAACTTGAGGGCCAATTAATTGTGTCCAGGCGAGGCGTCCACTCCAATTTCATATTTAATTTTAATTTAATTTAGTTGGGAGTGCGCCGACAAACGGTGCACGCGGCCGCTCGACCACGCGCATCCCACTCCATTTTACCAAACTATCCCTTTCTTCACTTTCACTTGTCTCCTCAAGCGGATGCCTTTCTTTAACACTTTTTATGACAAATTTCAAATTTCTCTTTATTGTTTCTCTAGAAACTTAATGTTGTTTTTTGTTGTTGATTTGTGGTTGGTAAGCTGCTCTAGCTAACCCCTTCTTCACATGTGTGTTGCTACCTACACATTAAAAAATACTAAAGAAAGATGAAGGAGATTAGATATCGTACTTGTAATAAATAAATCTAACGTCGATGTAGTGTCTGTCAAATCATCCTTTTATATTAATTTGGCCCGTATACTAGAGCTGGTGGAAAATGAAGCTGAACAAGGGATAATAAATAGTGGCCACGAACTCTTTAATTAT